GTCCAGTTGTACTAGGTTTTTAGTTTTTCTGCATTGTTGAGAAGAAATTATTTACTTTAGGTCAGGATACTGGCAGTCCTATTACCCAAATTTTTTTCAGTCCGTCAGGGATTATTAAAAAGTACTTGTAATTTCTGCATCTCACCAGAATGAACAGATTTGGATGACTATAGCCATTATGTCACTGGTTACATTCGGGTTTGTTCTTCTGAGTAGGAACTTGACACGGTTTCAGTTTAGTACTGGCTTTGATGTTGTCTAGTGCAAATATTTAGTTGAGGCATATTATTTTATTTCTTCACTTATAAAATAAGGATGATAATAGTGCCCTTTAAGAGTGATTGTGAGGAGTACATGAAATAATGTAGACAAAAGACCTTTAATGTAGATTGGGGGGTGGGAGTGGGCTGTATTGGGGTTTGAACTTAGAGCAAGTGCTCTAACACTTGAGCCACACCCCCAGTCCTTTTTGCTTTAGTTTGTTTTTCAGATAGGGTCTCAGGCCTTTGCCCTGGCAGTCCTCAGGTGGTGATTGTCCTACTTCTGCCCCCCAAGTAGCTGGGATTATAGGTGTGAGCCACAATGTTTGGCTCTTAGTAAGACCTTAATGAACATTAGGTACTTCTTTGGCTAGGTGTCTAAGAATAAAATGAAGACTAGCATTGGAACAAAATGTACTGTTCACTGTAAAATGTAGGTATAACTGTTGTTGGAGAATGAATATTCTCCAGAAAAGGTATTACTATTTTAAGAGCACTGATTAATTTAGTGTCCTTATATGTGGATTGAGTTATTGGTGACAAATTAATTCTGAATGAATCTAACATTTCACATCATGGTAATATTACATGTAATCAGTTATCTTGTAAATATACAATTACAACTCATGAGCTTATAGAATAGGAACATTTTACCTCAAATAATACTAAACTCATGACAGTATTCTTTGATAACTTTTTTCATGTGTTTTCATCACTGATCTTTTAGGTAGTTTCAGTTTTATCTAGTTTAACTTTTTTTTTTCATTATTTTTGCTAATTTTTCTTTTGTTCTACTATTTCATGTTAAATGTTATCATGTAACACTTTGCAGGAAGATTCCATTTTGAATTGGAAACATGGACATAAAAAGAATCAAAAAAAATTATCAACAAATTGTACTTACACTTTTTTCCCATCATTTCTTGAGTCACTGTTTAAAATGCAGTGATTTATTGTACTCTGTTTCTTGTACATGAAAATGTCTTGGTACATTTATTGTTAGGAATATGTTGCTGATTGATACCTTGCATAGTTAGGAATTGCAATGTCTTCTCAAAGGATAGCAGCACAACTGGATTCTGACTGGAGAACTGAGGAGCTGTCTTTCCAATTTTTAAGGATATTCTTTATTTAAAATTTCCTTTCTCATAATATGAATGTTTTGTTATTCTATAGATTACCTCAGTTTTAAAACTTTATTTTTGACTTTAATATTTAGCTACTTAAGGTAAAATAGATTGAGTTTAAAGAAGTCTGAAGATGATGAAATAAATGTTTAAGAACTTCCCTTTCTTGGCTAGTACTTCATTTTGGAATGAAATGTATGTATGTGGAAATGATCTTGTAAAAGCACATTTTTTCTAAGTGAATTTACTTATTTATTAATAGGTAGTCTTATTTTTTAAAAATAACTTCATTTCTAGATTTTGCTCATATTATCTCAGCATAATAATGGAAATGAAGTCTATCCATCATTAGTAAAATTACTTGTTTTCTGTAGTTTAATTTACATAATCAATTTAATAATTAGAAATAGTATTTTAAGAATTAAATGGAATGATATTCCTCTCTACCATCAGGACAGTTTCCTAAGCTTGTTTATATGTCAAAAATAATAAGTTGTATGGAATTTCTTACTCACTTTTCCAGTTCTATACTTTTGACATAGGAAAACTGGTGTGTGAGAGTGGTCAAGTACATAAATAAAGGTATTAGGTTTGTAAGAATAATAATGAAGTAGACTATCTGGAACCAAAGGAAGGAATTTGGCATTTTCCTGTCAATATAGCTTTCCAATAGTATTGTACAAACTCACAATACATCTTCATCCTAAATTGTAGGCTAGGAAAATTTTCCTTTTTTTTTCTTTTAGAAGAACTGAAATCAAATTCTTCCACATGTACCAAGCCTAGTTGGATCTTCTTTATTCTGTATACATGGTAATCTAGCTCCATCTATAGTCAAGGATACTTAGTTATTCTCACATGATCTATAAATGTCAGTGACCCTAACTGGAATAATTGAAACAAAATTGATGCCTAAACACAGCAGGTCTGAAAAGCTTACTCCCCACATAACTATTCAAACCTAGCTGATAGCAAATAAGACACCTTTATATTTGATTTATTTGGAAACTAAAAAATCTCCTCAGTTTATTATATGAGGGACCTTACCCCTCTCTGTTAAATAAATTTCAAAATGCCTATATGTGGGTGCTACAGAAGAGATGTGTAAAGTGACCATATTGGGTACCTACAGAAGATAATCAACAGAAGCAACTAATGTTTTTATTCTCTGATATGTCTGGAAAAAATTCTAATGCATGCTTTCTGTTGAAAGTGTTCATTTGTATCCTGCTTACGGTTATTGGTACTATCACTTCCCTGACACTTTATTCCTGGACAGCATAAATATTGTCAACACAAAGTAAAAGTGACCATTTTCTTCTCAAAACAAAAATTTTAAATTGAGTACTGTTGTTAAAATAAGATATTTGTGTTACATTGGTAAGGGAGATATTCTTGGGAAATGTTTCTCTTTAAATGATCTTGCTAATCTTTGAAGTCTTACAAATTTGAAAGTTCTATATTCTTAGTCACAATTAGTGTGTGGCTTGACTAGGTATAGAATTTTACTTAGTAATTTTCTTTTACTTTTAAATGTTTTTAATAAACTGTTAGATTAATTTGTAGCTTCTGGGGGCTCTGTTGAGAAGTTGGTGGGATTTGTTGTTATTTCTGCTGTTGATGTTTGGTTATTTTTGGATCTCGATCCTTAATCTGTGCTTTTTTTTTTATTACTCGGAATCTTTAAACGTCTTTTATATTTGTGTTTTCTAAATAATAGCTGGTTAATAATTTACAGTGACCGGAGATCCAGGGGGATGGGTGCTTTTGACACTTAGTGTCTGGAGATTATGAGATTAGTATTCTTTTAATGCAGGCAACAGGATCAGCCAGAACGTCAGTAGTGCCAGTCCTTGAAATTGTAAACCTGGGGACATAAAAGAAATGCAAATTAAAACCACACTAAGATTCCACCTCACCCATTAGAGTAGCCATCATTAGCAACACCACTATCAACAGGTGTTGGCAAGGATGCAGGGGAAAAAGGAACCCTTTTATACTGCTGGTGGTGATGCAAACTACTACAACCACTCTGGAAAAAAATTTGGAGGCTTCTTAAAAATCTAAACATAAATCTACCATATGATCCAGCAATACCACTCTTGGGGATATACCCAAAAGAATGTGACACAGGTTACTCCAGAGGCACTTGCACACCCATGTTTATTGCAGCACTATTCACGATAGCCAAGTTATGGAACCAGCCAAGATGCCCCACTACGGATGAATGGATTAAGAAAATGTGGTATTTATACACAATGGAATTTTATGCAGCCACGAAGAAGAATGAAATGTTATCATTCGCAAGTAAATGGATAGAACTGGAGAACATCATTCTGAGTGAGGTTAGCCTGGCCCAAAAGACCAAAAATCATAATGTTCTCTCTTATATGTGGACATTAGATCAAGGGCAAACACAACAAGGGGATTGGACTTTGATCACACGATAAAGCGAGAGACACAAGGGAGGGTGAGGATAGGTAAGACACCCAAAAAACTTGGGTGCCCTCAATGCAGAGAAACTAATGCAGATACTTTAAAGTGGCAGAGGCCAATAGGAAAAGGGAACCAGGAACTAGAGAAAAGGTTAGTTCAAGAAGAATTAACCTAGAAGGTAACACACATGCACAGGAAATCAATTCGAGTCAGCTCCCTGTATAGCTATCCTTATCTCAACTAGCAAAAACCCTTGGTCCTTCCTATTATTGCTTATACTCTCTCTTCAACAAAATTAGAAATAAGGCCAAAATAGTTTCTGCCTAGTAGGGAGGGGTTGGGGAAGAGAGAGGGGTGGGGGCGTAAGAGAGGGGGTTGGGGGAAGGGGGAGAAATGACCCAAACATTGTATGCATATATGAATAAAAAAAAGAATAATTAGGACCTTTATGTTGACTGTGGTGCATGATGAGAGAAGCATTGTTCACAAAAGATGAATCGTTATGTTTGATATAATGTTATAGACATGCTGTGTGAAACAACAGAGAATGAAAGTATAAATGCTGTAAATTTACATAGAATAAAATTTGCTGTGTGAAATACAGCCATTAAAATGTTATCTGTTAGTACAAATTTACCATGTTACTACTTTTTGTTTCAGGGTGGACATTACCTATGTAATTATCTTATTAACATTTTTGATATTTTTTTCTGTATTTCCAAGAAGTACCTGCTCATAGATAAATCAGTAAATTAATTCTTTAGTATAGTAGGTATCTTTTTGCAATACAGACAGCAGTTTCAGATCCAGAAAGATTTGTGAAATAGTATTTTTGCAAAGGTTAGGACATGACTGATAATGATGTCTGTATTATTCTAAATTAGAGTGGGCTTCAGGAAGGAGGTGAACAAGCATTGTATTTGTACAGTTTCATAGCCATTTCTGAGTTAGTTTACAGTTCTATTTCATTAATATTTTGGTAATGAATTACCAGAACTGCAAAAGTAGATAGCTATATGGTAAAAGTGTAAACATTCAGTAACAAAGACAAATGGCCTTAGATTATTCACTTTTTTTTTTCTTGCTTTACTTCTTTAATGTTATTAACCAGGAATACTCTATGTTAGATATGCAGGACTTAGAGAAAACAGAATTAAGACAATGAAGTGGGAAGATAGAATATGGTAAAATAGTAGTTGGGTAATTTTGTATGAATATAGTAAGTTTAGGCATTTAAAAATAGGTATTAATGCAGTCTTCATTTTAATATGCATATTTTATATACCTTTACTTTTCAGAATCTAAGTCACATCCACACCACCATCAGGGACAGCACAGAATGTCAAATAGTGAACAAAATGGAGTAAAAGATAATAATCAACCAAGACATCTTCCTCGAAATGATACCAGGCAGCCACGAAATGAAAAACCTCCTCGTTTTCAAAGAGACACCCCAAATTTAAAGTCAGTTTTAGAAGGCAGTGGATTACCTAGAAATAGAGGTTCTGAAAGACCGAGTACATCTTCAGGATCTGAAGTGTGGGCCGAAGAGCGAATCAAGTGTGATAGACCCTATTCTAGATATGACAGAACTAAAGAGACTTCATATCCTCTAAGTTCTCAGCACAATGATGGTGCTTTTAAAAAAAGAGATAACTCTATGCAAAGCAGATCAGGAAAAGGTCCATCATATGCAGGGGCAAAAGAAAATCCACTTCCTCAAGAATCTATAGATTATAATAATCAGAAACGTGGGAAAAGAGAAATCCAAACAGGTAACCCTGATCATTTTTATGACAGGAAGTCACGAACAATGAATAATGAAGCTTTCAGTAATGTAAAAATTGAAAAACCTTTTAATATAAATACTGATTACCAGAATCCTGTCCAAAGTAATAGTTTCATTGGTGTTCCAAATGGAGAGACAGAAATGCCACTGAGAGAAGACGAGTAGGACCGATTAAGCCAGCAGGATCTGCCACAACTGTAACCTATGATGATAAAATATTTTACAGTAGTGGGCCCAAAAGAAGGTCTGGGCCAATTAAGCCAGAAAAAGTGCTAGAGTCATCTATTCCTATGGAGTATGCGAAAATGTGGAAACCTGGAGATGAATGCTTTGCACTGTATTGGGAAGACAACAAGGTATGGATGCTATAAATGTCATGTACTGACACTGCTAAATTGAGCATTCTGTTGGGACTTCAGAGCGAGCTCTCACGTTGGAGCTGTGAGCAGGTACAGTCTACTATTGTACCTGCTTAAAGCCTTTGAACAGATTTACCTAATTTATAAAAGGGAAAAAATATTTAAATATTTTTATAAATGTTTAGGAATAATCTTTCCCATAAGATTTGGTTAAGTTAGGTTTGGGTTTAGCGTACATATAAGGAAAGTATTATAAAAGTGATATAGCACAGTCCACTTTTATTTCATTTACCATTTGCTGAGTTATAAATGTTCACTTTTCTTTCTTGTAAAATTTTATTACCACAGTAAGAGATTAGAGTTGACGCTGAACCAGGAAAAAAATATCAGTTGAGTGTGCCACAAAATAAAATTATGAAGATTTTCATTTAAAGAGAATATATTCAACCTACTTGAAAAATTTAGGAGCATGTAATTATTCTTCTTATAATTATTAGATAAATAATTTAAACATTATTTAGTTCTACATTTTATGGTATCTAAAAGGGAAAGAAGGAAGTTGTGAAGGAAAGGGGAAGGAAAAGACAGAAGATATGGGCAAAAAGGAGTGTGGTGGGTTAGTCTGGCTAAAGGCAGGCATATAATCCCCAGCTACTCAGGAGGTGGAGACAGGAGGATTGCAGTTGGAGAACAGCCCAGGCAAAATGTTAGTGAGACTCTATCTCTAAAACAAACCAGGAATGGTGGTGAATGCTGTAATCTCAGCTACTTGTGGCTGGTTTAAGCAAAAGTGTAAGACCTTATCTGAAATAACAAAAAAGCAAAAAGATGGGGGTGTGGATTAAGTGGTAAAGCACTTCCTAAGCAAGTTTGACCTTGAATTGAATCCCCTGTAGTGCCAAAATAATAATAATAATAATAATAATAATAATAATAATAATAAGGTATGGTTAGAGCAATAAAGACCAATGTAGTGAGAATAGGAAGGAGAAGAGGGCAAATGCCCTTTCCATGTTTTTTCTTTTCCCCTGCATGATCTTCTACCAAGAAGCCCATGGGAGCTTGGCTGAAACACCACCACCTAGAAAAAGTATCTGCTTTCTCCCTCAGAAGGGATTCTTCTTCTCCAACAGTACCTTGTTCACTGTTTTAAACTTAGTACAACTTGTAATATTTGTGGTTTTGGTTTTGGGATTGGTATGTCTTTTGCCTACCATAATTCTAAGTGCCTCAAAGGGTAGGCAGGACTGTGTCTGGTTTTCTAATGTAGCCTTGCTCTTATCACAGAACTGGGGTTTCATAATCATTTGTTGACTCTGTTAATTAGATAATTTAGGACACATAGGAAAAAATAGAGTGGAATATTAACAAAAACAGACCTAAGAAAAGTTATAGGATGAGAGATCTGGGTGGATGTGAGGTTCATGTCAAAAGAAAAAAAAATGTTTGAAATAAATATTTCATAGAGTAGTTCTAGTTAATAACATAGGGTATGTCCATAAGAGTGTGTGGCTAAAGGGAGTTACGGAGGTAAATGTACCTGAGGAATTAAGGAACTGAAATACATACTAGGGAATTTGGATAGATCCTTTATAAGGATACTATAAGACTTGGGATATGGAGCTGGGCCCTGTTGTGTTTAGGGAATTATGAGCTATCTGAGAATAGCAAGGAGGAGGGAAACAGTGTAGTAAAGCTAGAAAGGCATTGACTTTTAAAGTCTGTCTTCCCTTCCTCCCTCCCTCCCTCTCTCCCTCTCTCCCTCCTTCCTCCCTCCTCCCTCCTCCCTCTCTTCCTCCCTCTCTCCATTAGCATCTCTGGCCATCAAGTTTTAATTCAACGATAGGAGGAAGGGAAGAGCCAACATTGTGTCTTTTTTATAGTGAAGCGAAAGCCTTCCTGGAACTACAACAGACTTTTAAGTCTCATTGGTTGGAACTATTTCACATAGCCATCTGCAGATACAGATATTCTTCATGGTGTACTCTTCCTCTCCCAACTCAGACCACTTACACACTTTCCAGTTAAGGAAGTATTGGATTTGAGTAGTAGGTGATTCCTTATATTTAGCTATTCCTTATATTTAGCTATTTCACTCTCATTGTAGAGGCCAAAAAAGTGAAGTGATGGTCTTTATCAAGCCAAATTTGACTACCTTAGAGGTAGACACAAAAGCATCTGTCACAGATGCTTTGTGAAAGGTTAAGATGAGATTGGAAAAGTGTTTTCTATATTGGACAGTGTGTGGTGGTAGCAACCTTGACAAAAGCCAAACTAAGAGATTAGAGTTGAAGTTCAACCATCTGTAAAAGACTTGATAAATGATTCAAGCTTTCCATTGAACTATCACAAGGATTGTGCCTTAAGTAGTAAAGGCAAAACTGTAGCAGTCAACCCTTACAAAGTCTAAAACCAACCATCTACAAGTACAGGGTATCTCCTTTGCTGGCTACCAAAAGAAAGAAAAAGAATGATATGAAGATAGTTGAACTTAGTTGACAAGTTCCTTCAACAGAAGGAGCTCATGTTAATTGAGCACTGAGAAGCCATAATTGAGTAGCTGCTAAGTGCCAGGTCTTAGGATATGAAAGATAGTTCTGGCTGTGTGTATTGCCTCAACACCTGATAAAAATTTAATGTAGCTTTAATCTTATAAGAATCAGTGATACTGAATTCACTTGTTCCTTATGTCAAATATACTTTAAATAATGTCAAATGCATCTGAAACACAGTAACTAACAACACCCAAAGTGTTTTGAGGTATTAAAGTATTCTTGAAGTAATTGGATAATCCTTTAAGGTGACTACTTTGATTTAAATTGCTGTATATACTTTCAATTTGTGATATGGGTCTTTGTACTCTACTTGATTACACTATTAAGTATTGGAAATAAGAAAAACAATTTTCGCCCTGTGAAAAAGGTGAATTAGTTACTTTATGAAGCAACCCAACTTAAGGTAGCTTTAAAATATTTTGTCAAGAATAGATAAATTTCCAATCTTTCAGCCATAGACAAGGATAGAAATTGAAGAAAAGGAACTGACTATGTGACTGTCATTAAGAAACAATAATGGTAGTTGCATTGTAGTGTACTCTTTCTACTCTTTAGTGCTATTCCATAACAGATGTGAGCCATTCTCCTTCCTGTAGACTATAGAACTAGTTTGGTTGTCTTCTCTCAACTGAAATATTTTAACAACCTCCAAATTGGTTGCCTTGCCTTAAGCCTTATTGCTGTTAAATTTGTCACCTGTACTGCCACCATTATGATCCTAGTCTTAGACCATGTCATTATTCCTACTTAAAATCTTTCACTTATAGATGAAATGCAAATTGTATCATGTGTAGACCCCCCTCCATCATCTGATAGCTACTTATTGATCCTATTTCTTGGTAGTTGAGTGGTCTTCTCACACCATAGTATAATTCACTTAAAACTACTTTGAGTTTCCTACGCTTATCTTCATGACTCTGTAAATTCACTGAAACATCCTTTTCACCCCTTTACTTGGCTAAACATTCTTCATCCTTGAATTTATTCCATTCCCTCCAGGAAGCTTTTCCTGAATGCTGCAATCTTAAGTGCCATATCACTACACCTGTATTACAGTACTATACACATTTTATAGAATTATTTTTATATAGAGGATCTTTATAATTGTAAGGGTTTATTAAATTAAATTAATTTAAATTAAATTGTAAGGGTTTTTATTAAATTGTAAGGTTTTTTTTAGGAATTAAGTATATAGCTTTATTGGGACAAAGTTTCTGAGGTGAGGCTTATTAAAACTTATCTCTGTGTCAGATCTGTATTTTTGAGAGTTGAAGATATAAACCAGGTAAGTGGGGTGCTGCCCTCCTTCAGTGTCCCCGGCATTCCAAGGGCTAAAGGCTGAACTGTAAGCTCTAAAGAGGCATCAACTTACTGGTTTTCCTAAGCTGTACCATGACTCAGAGTTTGCCAAACTTACTTGAACTGGCATACCTTAAAAAAACCAAAGCATATACTCTAAACAGTTCATAGAACACCATAGTATGTGAGTAAAAAAGCAAAAGAGGATAGGGGAGAGAAGAATGTATACCAAAAACCCCAAGATAAGAAAATTCTAGTGTGGTATCTCTAAGTTTTCTGCTATCCAGACCTGGAAAGGAAACACCATGCATTCACTTAATAATTTTGTAATGTGAAATATACTAGTTACTAGCTAAATATTTTAGAAAATATACTAGTTAAAAACAAACTCCCAATATACTTGATGTTACTTATTTAGGCTAAATAGGAAAAGATGTGGAAAATAGTGGCACTACTAGCCTTTCTGGTTTCCAGTGAGCTTATCAAGAGATTCTATTATAGTAGATAGTGTTACAGAGAATCATCATCCAGCTATCATACTTTGAAGAAAACATTCTTTATTAGAAATTTAGTTTTCATTTCCACTTCAAATTGACTAAACAACTTTCAGACCTATAATTTGGGCCTGAATGGACTGACACAGATTGGAGAATTACTCTAATCAGATGACAACTCTGTTATCATACAGATACATTTTATAATTAGTTTGTTATGAGTTTATTATGTATCAGTTCTCAGAGCCAAGTAACACACTGTTCTTTTCCATTTGCTTTTGTCATATACTTCTACTTTTAAATAAATTACTTGGCATGTATTCTTATTAGTATATAAGGATGGTCTTACCAATGTTAGTCAAAGGGTTTTCTAAAAGTAGGTAACCCTTTGTAATTATCTTAAAAATATTACACATTGTTACAATGTTACTTTATGTTTCCATCAAATGTTGCCATATTTAAAACTTCTGTTTGCTTCCTCAGTTTTACCGAGCAGAAGTTGAAGCCCTCCATTCTTCTGGTATGACAGCGGTTGTTAAATTCATTGATTATGGAAACTATGAAGAGGTGCTACTAAGCAATATCAAGCCCATTCAAACAGAGGCATGGGTACGTGATCCAAATTCTGTACAAAGGCATAAGCTATTTTGAAGAAAACATGTAGCTCTAGTCACAGTGATATAAAAATTGCAAGTGAAAAAAGTTTTTTTAATTTGCTTAAAATTGGCTAGCCCAACATAAGATTTTCATTTAATAATTACACTGAACTAAAATAAAACTGAATTCATTGAAATTATGTGGATTGTATAATGTGTTATTGTATTATGCTTTGAAAATAAGGACTTTTATTTATGTTTGCCCAAAATTTGTATGTGAAAAATGGGTGTATATACGTATTTTCTTTCCCAAATTGTTACTTAAATTTGACTACAATATGTCCAGCGGTTGTCAAATTTCAATCTTTGTTGGATACACATATATTGTCTATTATTTTTAGTTTCATGTGAAATTAAGAAAAACACTTTAAATTATATAAGAATTTATACTGCATTAACACACACATATTTACATACATGTGTCTATGTACAGAGTCACTATAAATATTTGTTTAATAATTATTTTGTTTTATTGGCAATTGTTTGTCAAAGCTGGGTGATAACTGATGATGAAATTTAGAATTTCATGGCCTCATAACCCACTTTATATAGAATTTATGTGACTTTATATACATTCTCAACCACATTTAGATTGAAACAGGGTAGAAAACATATTAGAAATCCCATAAAGTGTTTCTTATTTTTTTCATTTCTCTAGTTTATGGATAACTTAATAAACTTACTATTATAAGCCTAATTGGTTGCCATTTCCCTAAAATATCAACTTAGGGCCAAAAATTATATCATTTAGAGAGCAGCCTTCATCACTGAGGCCATTCATTGTTTTCATAAGCTGCTTTTAGTTTTGTACTTTTGAAATTTTTCTGTCTTCATTGGTGCCCCAACCCCCAACAACACAAAACCTAATAACAGAAGTCATGTTTTGGGCCATGGATCTTTATTTTCTGCCTTTATATTCTATAAAAACTATCATTTTCTAAGATAATTTATCATTTTACATTTTCCATAACAGTTTGTAAGTTTAATTAAGAGATCATTTCCCTGTTCTCGTTCTCTAAAGTTTAACTATTTTTTATCTAAAAGAATTAATACTTAATTTATGTCTTTCTTTTCTTGGGGAAACTTGACAACCATATTTTCACTCTTGTTCTCTTACGATGGATATTTTCATTCTGTTTTTCCTATTAATATATCTTAATCTAGTTATGATTATGAAAGTGATTATTTGTTGAATCTATATTTCTAGAAGTTAAATACTGGTTTGCTACTCATTATATGCTGCCACTTGTGTTTACAACTACAATCAAAGGGTCAAAATAAAAAATTCTATATATTTAGTTTTTGTATTTTTAGAAGACTTTTATGAGATATTAATTTTATTCTTTTCTCCTTAAATAAAAAATTAATTTTCTTACTTCCCTTCTACTCTTTCTTTTGCTGTTTCAGGGTGGCCATAACTGATGAGTACATTTGCTATTCCTCACTGTAACTCTTCCATTTAGAGGTGCTTGGTCCTGAAGTGATAATTTTCTTTCCACAGTCAGGGACTTTTCCTTTTCCCCCCTCAATAGTCCTTATTGCTTTATCCTCGATTTTAGGTCTGTGTGAACTTTGTTGGGCAATAAGTTTAATCAGATGTCATAGCCCATTTAGTGATTCTATTTGAACCATAGCAATACTTTTCATATTCTTTATACCTATTTGTAAATATTAATCTATGCTTTCTTTATGTTGCTGTTTTATTAAACTCATTTTATTTTTTCTGAAGTCAAAAGTCTTACAGGATGCTTAAAAATATTTTGCAGAAAGAATCAAATCAGGGTAGAATCAATAAGTTGTTTGGAGATTTTAGTATTTCTTTTCTCCTACTTACAGGTAACCACATAATTCTTGATGTTTCATGATTTTACATAAATTAATATAAAAGGTATTTTTTGATCATATACATCATTATTGAGAAATTAAGCCATTCTTCTTCATATATGAATAATTAGTTCATCAAAATGTCTCCTTGAAATTTAGAGGCCACCAGCTTAACATTTCTTCATCTGTCTCCATTTAAAAAATATGTGTGTGTGCATTTGTACATAAAAGCCCCTGCAGAAAAACAGTCAGTGATATCAGTACATGTAATGTAGAATTAGTGTGCAATTCTCTTAGTGTTGCAATCTATGAGCACTTTTTCTTTTTTGTAACTCCGGACTGTAACAAAGTTAAGTTCATCAAAATGTACAAAATTTTCAAAGGAAAATATTCACTATACCAATAAGAAGGTAACTCTGTGTGATTACATAGAAAAATTATAGGGCTTCAAAGGTGTAGGGAAGTTGTTAGAGGCCTTAGCGCAATTATTCATTGACACTATGAATCGTGGTATTTTTAATTTTTTGACTCTTGCACTATGTATGTGCATTAATATTTTTATTACGAAATGGTAATTGTATCTTTTATGTTTGTTATTGCACAAGATTTTGGAAAACCTCTTAAATTTTCCCAAAAATACCAGTGATCATTTAGTGAAGATTTTTTTTTAAGTAGTATGCAGAGTAATCAAAAGAAGTCTGAATATTGTTTTGCAAAGTTATAAGGGTAAAGTATAAATAATCTATTAAATCATTAGCTAAAAAGCATGAAATGACTCAATGACTATTGTATGGAAAATTGAAATAAAAATAAGTTAATACTTTAAATCTCAGTGTTAATGTTTTTCTCATGAGGTTTAGCAATTGTCTGCCTTATAACTGTAGGCCAAATACATACTTCCCTTTTCCATCCATAGATATGTTTTTACTTCTAGAATACTTTCAGAGGTAATATTTTATATGGCCAAAGTATATGTTCCAATTATGACTAAAAACTTTATTTCCTCCAAAATGACTTACTTAACTTTTTGGTAAGTCATCCTTGATTTTGTTTTTATTGTTATTGTTACTCTGGCTAGATTTCAACTGATTCCTTTGGACAAAGTAAGATGTTCTATCTTAAAGTCTTTACTGTAGTGAACTTTCTATTTATCACATCTGATGTGAAATTTATAGCTCATTGTGAACTAGGTAAATGCTTTAATTTTTTTCAGATTTTCTTTTAAAGAATGGGTTCTTTGCACATTGTAAGGCTTTCCTTATTTTAGCAAAGTAAATGAAGCATTATAGGATCATAAGTGGAAAAAATCATAATAAAATATTATACATCTTACCATTTAAGAGAATGCATCGGGGGGCAAAAAACCCTACTATTTGTGTTCCCTTCAGAGTCTTTCCAAAATGGTTCCTTTAAACTCTGTAATTAACACCACAAAACCACTAAAAAGATGCCATAGGCAATTTGGAGACACTGTAAAATTCCTTGGCACTGTTGCATAGATAAACCTTTTGAATTTTTTAGGTGGTGTTGCTTCTGAATTACTTCTTTAAACCTGGGTACACATTGTTAAGTCCTGGTTTTCCAGGACTTGGAACTGGGTTCAACGGAAACTTTTATATTACAAGAAGTGTTTTAGAACATGCTGGTATCTAAACTTGCTTTTTAAAAGTTTAGAATAAATGTTTCCTGCTACTAGGAGATGGTTACTGTTCAGCTGTTGTTCCAACTAGAAAATTATGATTGCATAGATCATTTTAGTAGATCATGGTTAGTTCTAAGACCTTATCATATGTAGAATTTCAGGCAATAATACTTAAAAGTGAGAAGTGGATTGTTAGTCTTATGTAATCATCCTATCTTAAGTGTTTTTCTTTAGCATCTTTATTCTACAAATACCCTTACACATCTACTAGGTACCAAGCAATGTGTAGATGAGTGTGCAAAAAAATCCACAAAGCACACAAAAATCTGCACCCTTTGCACAAAGGTAACAATATTATAATTTCTATAATATTTAATATGAAACATTTAAATATCTCATAAGGGCCTTTTCTTCTTACTTATTGGCACTTACAAGCAAAATACTAGTGGAGAAAATTCTTTTAAATAAAGTTTTACTTTAAATAATATATAGCTCTTTATTCCACTTTAGTTTGAGGGGAAAATTGTTGTGGAAGAAAGTATAACAATGAATTTTATCTCTTTAAAAATCTCATCCTTATATATTTATTTGATTTTTGAGACAGGGTATCACTTTGTTGCTCAGACTGGCCTCAGACTGCTGAGCTCAAGTGATTCCCTTGCCTATGCCTCCTGAATAGCTGGAATTACTGGCACTGGCACTTTGAGTGATTTTGTTTTCTATTTCAAAAGTGAAAGCAACAGGCATAGTAGCGCACATCTATTTTTCTCAGCATTCGGGAGGCTGAGAAAAGAGAATCATGAATTCAGGGCCAGCTGGGCTACATAGTAAGTTCCAGGCTAGCCTTCTTAGTGTACATTTTGTCTTTTCACTAACATAGCCAGAGCCTCTGCCACCCCCCACACAAAAGTAAAATTTGAATTTCTTTTTAAAAATAGCGATTATAGTGTATATATTTTTTTCATGTTAGCATATTTTTAAAAATATCTATCAATCTCAAGTTTCAGTTTTGAAGTAACTTTGCACAGGTGGGTTTTAGTTTTTATAATAGCATCCTTAAAACCTATTTGAAAGTTATCTTTTCAAATTCAAACAACATTCATAAAAAGCCATAAATTAATTCTTCCATTAATAAAAATATTAAAAAGCAACAGAAAACCAAAAAAAATCTAACCTATTTATTGAGTAGATAGTTGAGATATAAAAATTAGGGAGTTAAAATGTATTCTAAATGTATCAGAACAATGTTATATTAGTAACTTTAATGGCACAGTGGTCAACTTAGGCTATATACAGTTTGTATTTGATATCATAGATCATATTAGATGTTGAAAAGAAGTCCTTTGTTATTAACTTCAAAGGAAATTGTTATTAATTTCAAAGGAAGATTAGAATTATATAATAGTAAGGTTCTCCCAATTAATATTTAATAAAAAGTCTAAGTGTCTTATTGGCCATAGTCCAGAAGTTTTTCATTCTTGCTGATA